CCAGTCCCATTTACTTCTATGGTTCCTTTCCTTCTCTCCCCACCTGTCATGATCCTGTCCCCCTTGCTCTGCTCATGAAGAACAGGAGCAGGGAGTTGACCGTGATTCTCAGTCTGTCTAGTGACCGGTCCCCTCTATCTTTAAGGTCACACATTAAGAAAGAAAGAAGAATGGTCCTGTGATCATGGCCAAACCACAGGCAGCAGTTTCGGGTCTAAGTCAGAACAATTGTTCTAGAAATGCATCCAGAGACAATGATGGAGGGGATTTGGAAAGGAAGCATTTATCAGTTAAATAAGAGGCCCTTTAAATATTCATCCTCATCTTGGTAATTGCATCAGCACCTGGATGCCTGCAGAGTCCTGGGCAGCTAATGGGCAGGTGGGAGACAGTGTGAAGTTTACATGGGGCCCGTAGTGGGGTGCTGAGTAGGGGCTACTTCCCATACTCTGGTGTACATTTACTGCCGATCAGAAGAAACCACCACTCGTCACTGCCCAGTGCCTCAGATGGTAAAACCAACTCAAGCCCAGTGCCGAGGAGGCATGCTGCAGCAAGGGCAAGAGGCAATGGTGACAGGAGTCTAAGGCTTTTGGGTGGGTTTGTGTGGTTTCTTTCCATCTAGTCTAAGCTTGCTCATGACAAGGAAGGCGTCCCTCACTCCTTGGGTAAACACACCCTGTTCATGCCCCCTCCTCAGGTTATCTCTCTGCTATGGAATGCCAACACCTTCGCCTTTTTTTTTTTTTTAAGATTTATTTATTTATGCATACAAGAGCTGGGGTACAGGCCAGAGGTGTGGGAGGTGGAGGATTCACAAGAGACAGAGCAGGGAACAGAACAGGCAGACTGACTGGAATACACTGCTGAGGGGAGCAGTGGGTGAGACAGGAGAGGTCTGCTGCGCCATGTGGGTAGCTCCCTGGCCAGCCGGGGGATCGAACTTGTGCTGCAGTGGCTGCAGACAGCTTCATAGATTGAGTCTTAACCCCTTGCACCACCAGGGAGGCCAACACCTTCACCTTTGCATTATTCTCACATTCTTATAAGCAAAAGGAAGGCTGAGAGACCCTGTCACTTGGCTAAGATTCGGTTTCCTTGTTTGTGATACAGTTGTAACATAGGTAGGAAGTAAATGAAATAATACATGTTAATTTGATATTAAAATGCATTTGGAATATAAACATTAAGTGGTATATAAAATAGACTGCCAAGTGATAACTAAAAACCCAAATTTTCCAAGCTATGTGACTTTAGATAAAGTAAAACCTCAGTTTCCCCATCTATAAAATGAGTCAAACTAGTGCCTATGCCACATGATTATCATAGTCAATGAGAAATGGTTGTTAGGACCTGCTGCATAATAAGTGCTCAAATAATGACAACTATTATTATCTGAAGCTGATATTGTTATTATTATAATGTTGACTATACAGCCCATAAGTGAAGAATCCCAGGCCCACAGTGGACCTTCCCAGAGTGTTTTTATCCCATATAGAATTATCTTGAGTCTTGAATTATTGTAAAGCTTTCCTTCTTATCCACCAGCTCCACTTCCAATTCTTGTATGTATTCTTTAGCCAAGAAGTTGGAAAGTTGGGTGGTTTTGGCCTTCAGAGTTTATAGAGCAGGGGGACACAGGACTGGACCTCCATGATCAAGGAGTCCCTTGGCTTCTGTGGCTTCAGCTCATGTTGGAAAGGGTGTGGATCCACAAAAAAGCAGTGAACCACTTCATCATAGGACAAGCCTTTATTAGGACCTTGTTGTATAGATAGGAAATACTTGTGTTTGCTTCCATTTGGGACGCTAAGATCCTTCAAAAATAACTACTCGGCCAATCAATGAGAAGTGAAGACCCTCTCTGAGGTTTTGCACATCAAATGCCTTTTAGCCCTCATTATTTCCTATACCTTACCCATATGAGTGGGGAGCCCAGAGATACATAGAAATGTATTGGGGAGAAAGAAGTTATCAGTACATTAGCTATTACCTATATCCCTCCTGGGGAGGAATTGCCTTCATTGAGGTATGGGTCCTGAATGTTGGCATGATAAACAACAGTTGACAGGAGACTCAGAAAGAAATATCTCAATTTCTCTGGGCAAGCAGGAATCTGGGTATGGACGATTGTTGAAGAGGGATGGCTGAGCAAGGAGGAAAGAGAAGATGGCCTCAAAGTATTGGAAGCAGCAAGGGACTTGGAATATGCATATCTAATATTCAACTTTAAGTTGTCTCTGTGGCTATGATGTAAAATTTTTGTCTCCTCAAATGCTCTGTGAAGTTGGCTACACAAAAGGGCCCAGTCATATTTTTTTAATGAAAATGACAAGAAGGAATGGAATTAAAAATTCAAATGGAGAGCCTCCCTGGTGGTGCAAGGGGTTAAGTCTTAGCACTATGAAGCTATCCCTAGCCACTGCAGCATGAATTCAATCCCTGGCCAGGGAGCTAATCCACATGGTTAGACCTCTCCTGTCTTACCTTCTACTCTCCTCAGCAGTTCAATCTGCCTGTTCTACTCCCTACTCTGTCTCTGGTGAATCCTCTCATGCCCTCCCTTCTGGTCTACACCCCAGCTCTTGCATGCATAAATAAATAAATCTTTAAAAAAAATTCAAATGGATTTGATGCACAATAGGACCAGGACACATAAGGAACCAAGCATAATCTGGAAGAAAGTGCTCAGAAGACCAGGTGACTAGGAAATCCCTACCCTACCTATATCCACCCCCACCAATCTATACAATAGCAGAGAGATTGAGACAGGAAGGGGCGCACTACTTGTGGGGGACATTCTGACACAATGTCTTAAAGGAGAACAGATCTCAGCTGACTTCTGAGTTTCAAACATAATGAAAATACTAATATCAACTTGTGCATTGGCTTTCCAAAGTACTTTCCCATTTTTGTCCCTTTAACCTCAGCCCTTCATTTCAATTTTCAGACAAGGAGACTACAGCCCTAGAGGTCATGCCACCCGTTCAAAGTGACAGTGACCAGGGTCTACTCCCCACACATGGGGACTTCTGCTGACTCAGCAGGGCTCAGGCATCTGGTTGCTAATCGTTAGGATGCTAAGTGGTTCCAAAAATACTATTTCAGAAGGCAAACTGAGCCTGAACCAATCTCCATAATGACCCATCCAGAAGGCAGTGAACAGGCAGGGGCAAGGGACCACTGCAATCCAACAGGCCAGCGGGGGGAGCAGAGCATGCTTGGTGTGGCAAAGAATGATGGTAAGGAGCCATCTCCATTGGAAGGTCTAGGGTGAGGGTTACAGGGGGCCAGACCCTGGTGGGGGTGGGGGTTCTGCATGTGTACAGCTGGGGGGAATTCAGGTTCAGAGCAAGTACCTCCTGTAAGTGAGCATTCCAAGACAGATCTGCCAAAGTACTGCTGCTGCCCTTGGTAGCAGTTTTTTTCCAAGGGTCTGAACTTCCCAACTGGAAGTCAGGGAACCAAACTCATGCATTTTCCTGTCTTCAAAGCAGAATCTTACTAAAGGTTTCTCCTGTGATGGAGTGGTTCACTGACACTTCAGAGGATGCAGGACCCACAGGAGGGCCAGTTTTGAAGATTTACTCAACCCAATCATCTCCTAAGAGGTTCTCTGTGCCTAGGATGCAGGTATTTCTTGCAATGCCCTCACTGCCTCACTAGAGGGAGCCCAAGTTCCCACTCCCCACTTTCAGCCCACCTGGCCAGTTGTGGCCTCCTTTCTGCCCCAAAGGTGTGGGTCAGAGAGCCTGGGACAGGCACCCACCCTCCTAGTGATGGAGTATTGCCTAGGGACTTTGGGAAATGTTTTCAGGAGTCCCAGCAGCAAAAGCTAGGTAAAATGAGTGTTGCTTGTACAAATAATTTGCAAGACCCAACGACCCTCACCCTGAGTCTGGTGGTCTGTGGTCCACCCTCAATCTGGAGCCCAACATCCTTGGATTGGAGCTCCTCTCAGCAAGTCCCACCAAGTACAAAATCCCAGGGCCAGGCACAGGGAAAGGAAATGGGAGAGGAAGAGAGAACTGAGCCAACATTAACCCCCCAAAAATAAATAAATAAATAAAAGCTCCCTTCTTGGGAGAACAAAGACTAATGTCTAGACCACAGGCATTACTGCTGCCATCCAACCCTCTGACAGGCTCCTCTCTGGGGCTGTGTGCTCAACAACCAAGATGAGACCCACAGCCCAACGGGAAGGCAGTATCAGTGAATGTCAGACTGTGGGCACCAGAGGAGGGCCATTTTGTTTCCAAATTTCCCCCACCTAGAGGCGATTGCCAAGAAACCAAGAACCCTGTCTGCCTTGTGCACCACAAAATCCCCAATGCCTAGAATAGAGCCTGGCACACAGAGAGCGGTAAATATTTTATGAATAACCAGTGACTCCAAACTTCCTGCTTCCTTAACCTTGTAACCTTGCACTTCATCTCTTAGAGCCTCAGTTTCCTTCTCTGTAAAATGGGACAAAAGCATGCTTACCTGACCGGGTGAAGGCGAAGTTTAAAAGAGAACAGGCACTCAGGCATTCAGCCCCTTGCTTAGAAGGCAAAAAGCCTTCAACAATAGCGCTTCATTACTCATTCGTAGCTGCCGGCACTGGCTGAGGCACCAGGCATGCACTTGTGCAGCTTAGTTTGTGCAGCTTAATTTGTGCAGCTAGGAGGGCGCAATTATTTCTCATCTCAGGCAATTCTCCGAGGTGGACAGCTCTCTTATATATTCTTTGTACAACTGAGGCACAGAGCGACGGGTGCAGCGATGCATCCCAAATGTTTGCTTTTCTAGCCAGTGGCAGTGGAACTGTTAGGGGGAAAAGGATGTCCCAAAGCAAATTCCATATAGGCTTTGTGGACTCCACCCCCACCCCAGGTCAAAGCCAAAGACACTGGGAACTCCAAATCCCATCACCACCAAAGGGAAGGTGGCTGGGACCTGAGGGTGGGGTTAAGCAGCCAGGTGGATACAAAAGGCAGACACGTGGGCTTTGGGGGCTCTCCATTTTTGGGCTCTCAGCCAGCTCGCAGCGTCCGGCCAGCTCTGAGAGTGACTTTGGGTTTCCAGGTCGTCGGATCGGGTAGGACGCATTAAAGACTTTATTTCCCTATTTTCTCCCTGAGTTGTACATTTTCCTTATTTCCTTTTCTCTTGTAAATAAACCTTTTATTAACCCTTTTGCGTGTGTCTGTAGTAGAGTATTCATAAGTCCCTTTAAAGCGCACGGGTGAGGATCCACAGCCAGGAACCCGTTTAATATCGGGGTTGCTCTATAACAGAACCAGATGTGTAAGCCTGACCCTAGCTTTGCTCTTCACTTGAAATAGATTGCTTAGAGTTCTTCTGAGTCAGCTCCTCTACAAACAACAGAGCACTGTTTGGAGTTGTTTCCTGCCGAGGACCAGCACGACTCCCACCATCCTTCTCAGCCTCTGATGCTCGTTTCTAAAGCCGATGACCACTGACACCCCAGAGCTGATGAGCTGAGCTAGCTGCCCAAGGATGCCTTGGTCAAGCCTCCAATGTGGAAGGTGGGGCCTAACTTCACAATTTACAGCTGTGTGGAAACAGACTGGGATCAAGGAGTTTGCAGCCAACCTCAGGAGCTCTCACCCTTGCTCATGCTGGTGCCGACCTCCAGCCAGCAGATGCTGATACTATGTATCTGAAGGGACTGAGACTTTGGTTCCTGAAACTTTGCCAAGCACCCTGGCTCATTCAATGCAAATGTTCTTTCTACCTTTGGAAATTTGAAAAGAAAAGAAAAAGATCTACCAAATAGTTTGCAGCCTGGGGTTATCTTTTGTTAATCCCTAGGCAAGCAGGTCTTGTTTTAACTTTTCAAGAAAGAGGGAAATACCAAAGTGATGTCAGTCAGTGGGTAAGTCCCCCACCCACCCATTGCCAGTTCCCCACTTCCGCATACTCACCTCCCACCACCATCCCAGTGCCTCCCCGCCCCCCTCCAGGAAAACACTGAGTCCTATCTCTAAGGCAGATGCTCAGCTCTGCCAAAGGCACAGTCTGCAGTAAACTCAGCTGTCTTCTGTGTCTCTGCTCCCCCTACCTCCCTTTATTTCCATTGGAAAAAAAGAAAATTGCCAAGTAATTGCTCCTTGACAATCCCTGCTGGTCCTAGGTTGTTTCTTTCTTGCTGAGATTATAATTAGGGATCAGTAAATTTAAATAGAAAATCCATGAACAGCACAGAGCCTTCATTTTTCAAATGCTGTTTCGTGCACTCTGAGAGTGGCACTCAAACATGTTTGTTGGCAGTGGTAGCACCGCACTCAGGTGGGGCTGGAAAGCAGGAGACAGCACAGCCCCCGGACTCTCTGTAAAGGTGTCCAAGCAGCAGCAGAATGGATAAGCATTTGCTAGGCATCAAGGCTGGGCCAGCACTTCTTAACCCTTACCTTATTACATCTATCTCAGAGGTAATAAGATGCCCTGTAAGAGTAGCAGTCATTTTAATTCCATTTTACATTTGTGAAAACGAAGGTTCAGAGAGGCGGTGACTTATCCAAGGTCATGCAACTAAAATATGGTCAGCCTGGGACCTGAAGCCTCAGGTGTTTGAACCCTTGGCTTGTGAATTTTATCCTGAAATTTGACTGCTTTTCTGGTGAAGTAAGACCTCAGTCCCAGATCTGAGCAAATTCCAGGTTGTGTGATCCCTCCACTTCCCTCACCAGAGTCTGCATGTGGCCACATCCCAGCCTGGGCCTGTCTGTTCCTTTGTGTCTCCCAAGGTCCATAGGGCAAGGCCAGACTCCTGGTAGGGCTGAGAAGGAGGAAGAGAAACCTGCACCTCGTGTGACCTGTGACTTCTCCCAGGACTAATAATACCATTTCCCCCAAACAACCAGTGTGAGACACTGGATGGACACGGAGCATCTCCTCCAGGTAGAGACAAGGAGACTGAGGTCTCAGAGAGGTCAAATGACTGCTCAAGAGACCTCAGCCAGTGACTGGCTGGTGAAGTCTGGACTCAGGGGCCAAGCTTCTTCCCCAGGGTACTGCAACTCTTTAGAGCTGCGCTTTGACTACCGGGGCTGATTGACCACAGGAGGAAGGAAAGGAGGCGGCTCAAGTTTCTTGGTCACCTAAAAACATGCTGCTTCTGAAGGGACAGGCCTGTCAGCAGTGATTTAACTTTGTCTTTCTTTCGTGTCATCTACAAGGTGAGGGGGTTTACGGTACTCCCCCCCAGATGATATGAGAATGACTGGGCTTAGGCAAGTGGCATAGGAACCCTGCGATGTTCAGTACCATCAGTAGCAAGCAGCAAGCATTTCTTGTTTCATAATAATGTCATTAGCAAATGCTGTGACAGCACTGTGAGATAGTACTATCTCCATTTTTCAGGGGAAATTTAAGGCTCACAAAGAATAGGAACTTGGGTTAGACATGTATCTTTTTAAGTAGTAGATCCATGGGCCCAAGGGAGGCTGATGATCTCAGGCTCACACCCACCCTACTAGCACCTGTCTCAAACTTGGGAGAGGCAGTAGGACAGGGATATCCAGGGATCAGGGGGACATGAGCCACCCAGACAGATCAGGATCTCTAGGACAAGCTTAGAGTTTGGGCTTCTGTGTCTTCCCACCCATCTGCACCCCCATCCCCCCCCAACAAAATGCTGAGGGTACAAGATGCCCTGCAGGCCAGCAACAAGGCCCAGGACCTTGTCACTCAACTGGCCCTGGTACCTACAACCCTTCTCCAGTCGTCAGTCACCAGCTGCAGAGGCTCTTTTATTTGGTATTACGTAAGGAAAACTCCCTCAAAGATCTCAGTGTGCCCTGAAGAAAGCTCAAGCCCTTTGCCCTTTCTTTCTTTTTTTTTTTAAGATTTATTTATTTATTTATGCATACAAAAGCCGGGGTACAGGCCAGAGATGTGGGGGTGGGAGGGTGAGAGGACTCACCAGAGACAGAGTGGGGAACAGAACAGGCAGACTGATGTAACACACTGCTGAGGGGAGCAGCGGGCGAAACAGGAGAGGTCTGCTGCGCCATGTGGGTTGCTTCCTGGCTGGCAGGGGATCAAACTTCTGCTGCAGAGGCTGCGATTGCTTCATAGTGCTGTGCTTAACCCCTTGCGCCATCAGGGAGGCCCCCTTTACTCTTCTTCAAGTCTTATTTGTACTTCTTTCTTTGCCTCTTTCTTCATACACTTTCCTTTTTAGTTCTCTCTGTCTTTGTCTCTCTCTCCTGCTCCTTTCCCTCTGTGCTTCCATCTCTGTTTCTTGACCTGGGACCATCAGCGTTAGTATGTTCCTGAAGTCAGGGAACCCTGGGCCTCTCTTCTGACTCTGCTCCCCCACACTCAGTGCCACCTGGGCCCAGTTTGGCTCTTCGCTAAGGACCAAGCTTTCATGTGTCATTGTGATTTTCCCCGGCCTCGAAACTCATAGCCTTGCTTCTTTCCTCACGTTCCTGAATGTAAATCAATGTTTCCCCCAGCTGGGAAGGACAGGATCACAAGTGGGCCGTGCTGCCGCAAAGCAAAACTTCTTAACCAGAAAGAGGCACACTTTTCCCTTCATGTTCTGCCTGGAGGGGGCAGAGAGAGGAAAGAAAGCAGAAGACCAGAGAGTGGGAGGAACTGGGAAAGAACAAGCAGAGGGTAGAGGAGGGGCTGCAGAGGGACCCACGAGAGGCATACTCATCTCTCTCACCTTGTAGGTAAAGGATTTATGGTTGATTTTCCATTTCACAGAGAGACACACTGAGGCCTCAGGAAACTCCATGTCAATTGAGGAGAGGTCAGAGTTTCTCTCTAGTTAACAGAGGTGCAGCAAGGACAGGAGCGAGGGCATTTCCCAGCCATATTCCACATTCCCTTCTCCCCGAGGTGAGAAATGGACTGGCGCCCCAGTTTAAACCTGCTGTTCTGCTGATTTAGTTTTGGTATGACAAATGCATTTTGGGTGTCTGCAGTTTTTCAGAGAAACCACATTTTATTTTTTTCAGTGTTGGGGCCCACTTGCAACAATACCTTGACCCTTCTTTGCTAAAAGAGGAAAAGAAGGCCATGACCTCAACAGGGCAAGTCTTCAGGAGGAGCCTCACATCCTTCTCCAGCCTTGCCATCTAAGGGCAGAGGCTGAGAGCTGCTTCAGGCCAGCTCACAATCATATGCCATCTGGGGGCTGATGCTGGAAGCAGCTACACCAGGATCCTCCTAACACCTAGGCCAGTTGAGGGCTCAGGCGCTAATCAGCCTTCCACTGTGCCGCCTCTGGAGAAAAGCCACGTTTTTACTAAAGAGCATTTCCTCTAGCTGTGCACCTGAAGGGGGTGGGCGGGAAGAGGGAGGATAGAGCTGTGCTGCTCTGCCCCCTGTCGAATAAGTGCCGTAAAGCCTCCCTTCATCACAGGCCGACAGAGCAGGTCTCAAGTCTGGGGTTTCAGGTTATCTGATTAGAAACCTGCCTTAGCTCCAAGCCTGGTGAGTGAAGGGATTGTTCCAGAATTCCCAGCCTGACCGGCAGAGCAAAGGTCATTATGGAATCTTGGTTCTGGGTTCAGGGGAGCCAATGATCAAAACTCTGGGCTCAGATGTCCCCTAACTGCACCCTTCCTCGAAGTCATGCTGTGAAATGCTTACTTTTAAAAATAACCCCCAAACCAAAAAAAAAAAAAAAAAAAAATATATATATATATATATATATATATATATATACTTATCATGTTTTCTTTTTCCTGAAAGTCAGGCGTGGGTGTCTGCCTCTTATCTGGGTCTGATGAAGTGTGTACTGAACAATGGTCTGGATTTCTCCTCTTGCTTGGCTGGGTGGTGCCATTTGCACCCACCTGTTCTTCTCTGCCCACCTGGGCATCATGGCCAATAGAAGCTCTCTGTATGGGGCCTCCCCGGTGGCGCAGCGGTTGAGCGCTGGGTTGTGAAGCTGCCCGCGGCCTCTGCGGCGCCGGTTCGATCCCCGGCTGCTCCCCAGCCAGCGAAGGAGGGTCCCACATGGCGCGCAGACCTCTCCTGCCGCCCGCTGCTCCCCTCAGCAGTGTACTTCGGTCCTTCTGCCTGCTCTGCTCCCCGCTCTGGCTCTGGTGAATTCTCTTGCCCTCCTGGCTTCTGACTGTACCCAGTGCATGTATAAACCAAACAAACAAACAGATAAATAAGACATGCCTCTAGAAAATTAAAAAAAAAAAAAAAAAAAAAGAAGCTCTCTGTATCCTCAGATAAGCATGGGGTACTGGACAGTCCCTTCAGCCCCCACAAGGACCCCATGGCAAACTCCCAGTGCCTGAGATGGAAGGGCCCAGCATGTGTAGCTGCACCAGCCCTGCAGACACCAGCTCAGAGCATGGCCTAATTTACTAGCAACAGGGGTGCCTTACCTCTCAAGAGACCTAAGTAGAGGGACCCAGCTCTTACCAAACCATGGGACATGGGGATTTCCCTCAAGGCCCAGACCACATATCCTCTGCTGGAAGCCCGCTCCGCACTTCTTAGCAACTCCTTTTGACCCCTAAGAGTGGGAGGGAGGTCTTATGCCCCCAAACACAACGGAATTGCCTGTGACTCATAGCTGGCCCTGCTGGTTGAGAAATTTACTTCCTGGGTGGGGTATTGGGGCACAGCATGTGCGTGTGTGCGTGTGTGTTCTGTAAAATACAGCCTGAGCCTTCCTGGGACCAGAGCTACCTGGACACTTGATCCCAAAACATCCATCTTCCTTCCTAGACCATCTGGGATGACTCAAAGTCTGGTTGGAATTTTTTTTTTTTTTTTAAGGAGAAGGAAAAGAGAACTAAATAAGAACACAAACAATTCAGTAATGCGAAACCAATTGTCTGGTTCCACGCAAAGTGGAGCAGGCCGTGGGGTGTGTTTTAAGGCAGTCTGCATTCGTGGAGCCTCTTGAAGGCTTGCTCTAATGGGCATCCCTCAGTCTACAGCTGCCTTCCTTGTTGGCTTCCAAAGACTTGGGGAGAGGCCACAGTGCTTTCTGCAGACTCTGCCCGGGAGGGCAAAGGGCATTGTCCTGCTGGATCTTGAGGAAAAGAGAAGTAGAAAGGTTTCAGTTTTGTATTCATTTGTTATTGTTGCAAAAGGGACCCATCAACTTGAATATAAACAAAATGGGGAACTGAGACTTATCACATGATTTTGTCATTTTCTCACTTTGGTAGAATAGGAGTGAAGAACAATAGTACTTCTTATGGGTACAGTTTAACTTTAATTTTTCTAAATATTTTTTTTTCATACAAGAGGGTAGGACAGACAAGTGTGGCCTACAAGTGTGTAGGCCAAAGGTGCAGGGGTTAAGAGGATTCACCAGAGACAGAGTGGGGAGCAAAACAAGCAGATTGACTGAAATACACTGCTGAGGAGCAGCAGGCAAGACAGGAGAGGTCTGCTGTACCATGTGTCACCTCCCTGGCTAGGCATCAAACTCGTGCTGCAGTGCTGTGGATAGTTTCATAGTGCTGAGACTTAACCCCATGTGCCGCCAGGAAGGACCCCAGTTTCTTTTAGGCCACAAGGTCATTGTTTAAAAAAGAAGAGTAAAGAGTATTGTAGAAATCTCTTATTTTACCAAGGTGTCTTATTTGTTCTTTTCTCCAAACCCAATCACATTAGTGCTTGTATTCCCATGTCAAGTGAAAGCCCTGAGGCTGGGAGGCGAAGTGATTTGCCCTGGGTCAGAGAGACGAATGCTAGAGAAAGGATTCAAAATCTGCTCTATTGCCAAACTTCTCCATGTTTTTCAGGTTCCTGTTCCTGGTTCTCTGACTCCAATTCCCACCCCTTGTCTATGACCTCTCTTCACTAGGACCCCTGAGGGATTGCAAGAGAGTCAGTCCTGGATTAGGAGGTAAGACTAACTCTGGACTATTTCTAGGCAAGGTAGCTCTCTATCCTTACCTGATTCTGAGATGGGGTGAGGTATCAAGGTGATAATTTCAGTCTGTCCAATAGCATTTGTGCAAAACTCAGGAAATAGGTTATCTTACCTCACACCAGGTGTCAGAGGAGAGGACCTGGTAAAGTTGATGCTGAGAACTCAAAGCAGAGATGGGCCAGTGACACGCTAAATTCAGACTAATAAACTAGCATTGTGTCTATGTATTCACTCTTTCCTTCACTCAACTACCATGTGTGTCTCTAACTCACTGCTGATGGAGTCCAGGCCCCTTTCTGTGACCTGCAAGACACTGCTGCAGGATCTGTCCCTGGTTAATTTTCTATAGAGTGTGTCTCATCTATCTTGCTTACTTATTTATTTTATTTCTATTGGCTGTGCTCCCAGTAGAATGCAGGGTTAATGAGCACAGGACCCTCATCTTCTTTGATCTTGTCTATATGCAAAGAGCACCTGGAGAAATGCCTGGCACACTGATAGTTGGATGGATGAATGGTTGCGTGGGTGGGTAGATAGATGGATGGGTGTGTGTGTGTGTGTGTGTATGTGTAAGTGTAAAGATAGATGGATAAGTAGGGGCATTTGGGTAGGTGGATAGATGGGTAGAAGGATAGATGGCTGGCTGGTGTTTACTGTGTACCAGGTCCCAGTGGGGATCTGGAGATGCATAAAATGCTGTGTCTTTGCTCGGAGTTCACTGAGAAGTAAGGGGCATCTTCTCATAGTCAGGTAGATGTCACTAGGTTTAGTAGAGGCTCCAAGAAAATAAAAGCATTCTATATCTGGAGTAGAAGGGAAGAAGGGATCCAGTTTGGCTAGCGGACAGTGATCAGGAAGTGTTCTGTATGGAGCTGACAATTTCACTGAGTCACGGAAGCTAAATGGTGATTATTCAGATGATCAGTGTATTGAAAAGCTCCCTGGAGCCCAGAAAAATGCAAAGAGGCTGAACATAGTCTGGCATAGACTGGAAACTGCATGATTGCAGGACATGGAGTATGAAAGGTCTGGGGGTGTTTGCTGCTATGCTGCAGTTTTTCACGTTGATTACAGGCATTTATTGCTAGAATTCAAGAATTGTTTGTTGAGTAAAGCAACAAAAGGTGAGCACAACACGAAGGCCTGGGTAGGTGGACCAGAATTGGATAATGCCAGGAACTTAGACCTTAGCAGAAGACAGTGGGGCGTCACAGTGCCTCAATGAGATGTGTTTTTCTGATTCTCACCCTGCTGTAGTACAGGAAATGTGTTGGGGAAATTCCTGGCTGAAGCAGGAAGGGGAGAAGCCTATGGGGGTGATCGAAGTGACAGACGTTGAGCCACTTCAAGGTGGTTTATTAGAGGAGGTGGAGAGGGACACCAGGGATCTGAGAAAGAGAGACTGGACAGGGTGGAATCCCGGATGCACTATGAGGGAGGGAAAGGGGTGAAGATGGAAGGTGGGTTCTAAGTCTCCAGGTGGAGTTGTTATAGGACAGGGAGAGGGGCAGCCCAAAACCCCGCAAACCTGCCTATTCTAAATGGGTTCTGCCATCGCCGCATCAACACAAAACATAGGAGACTTTAATGAAAAGGAACTTTAATAAAACTAGGAAACAATACAGGTAAGGCAAAGAATCTAGTTTCTAAATGAAGCACCCAAAGTTACCCATCCCCTCGTGGGTAAAAGTCCATCCAAATGGGATTGGCCCAGAGCAAGGCCCCAAGGCCTGCCACAAGTCTAAAGCATCTTCCAGTGGGGACCCACAGAAAAGGGTCACAAACAACCGGACAAGCCCGGAAGGAAAAGAGCAAAATCAACATCAAGATAAAGGCTGTCATTGTCACCTCCCCATGGGTCTCACCCACATCTGTGTCACCCAGTCCAAGACCAAAAGACAAATGCAGTTTCTTCACGTGTCTCTAGGCTCCATGTGCCTCCTCCAGGTCTCCTGGCTCCATCCTGCTTCCTACCTCAGTCTCTTCTGCAGCTCAGCTCCACCCTCCCTTGGGTGGGGCAGGGAACCTCCCCCTTTCCTGGGGACCACCTGTTACAGAGTGACTGGATTCCAGTCACTAAATACAGAATGTGTGTGTTGTGGGAAGAAGATTTCGGGGTTTCTGCATGAAGGTACTAAAGGTTTTGTGTCCCAGTTGCTGGCTTTCATGGACCCTTTTCAAGACCCTGGATATGGGGAGCCATGCTACTCATGTCGTCTGACAAAAGTCCGGGCATGGGGCGGATTTCTGAAAAATCAGGAATCTCGTTAGCTGACTCCAAGATTCTCCTCATTTGTTTATGGCTAGTTTCTACCATTGCTAAAATACGCATTTAAAAGTAAAACTGCAAATACTGATCAATCACTGAAAAACCAATTTGATGACAAATGGTACTGCATGATACAAATACTACATTTTTTATAAAATTAGTAGTTCTCGGCCAAAAAGGCAGCAATTCAACATTTGGCCTTACATTAACAAGTGAAAAAACTTCTGGGAACAGAAGCCTGTAAACATCCCTCGGCCAAGTCTTTAATATGAATATGTGGTCTTTTGAGGCAAGTGTTAATTGGAGAAGGAAATTCTTTTACTTTAAAGTTAAAGATAGCAGTTGAGTGGCAGAGGCAAGCCATGCTCCAAGTATAAGAAAATTCCTGATAAGCCAGGAGGTGCCATAGCTGACTCCTGCTAAATTTTTCCTCTTTGTTTAGGGCTAATACCCTTGGATGTGACAATTGGTATGGTAGCTGTTAGAGTATACATTCAAGAATAAGTCAACAGCAGTTTTGTGACTGGTTGAGCTAGTAACCACGGCAGCACAAATAATGCACTCGGAAATAGTCAGTGTTACAACTACTGATATGTCACATATCGACCATTTTTGAGAATCAAAGGCTATAACCATCTCCGCCCCTGTCCCTGATGAAATATTTGTAGTTCCTTAAAACAACAACCAGCAATCTTATGGAAAAGGAAATTGTCCTTTGATCTTAAAGTTAGATACAGAAACTAGGCTGACTAGATAAGTAGAGGAGTAATAGGTAGAAAACTCTTTGTTTAGATTAGGAGACTTCCTCCCTTAATCGAGAGCTGGGGGCTAGGGAAGAGTCAATGTGGCTTGCCTGGCATTAACGCCCTCCAGGCCCTTGGTTTCTTAATATCAAATCAATATAAAAACAATATACTATAGATGATGATTTCTATATCAAAGACTTCTGTTTTTTCCTTTAATGGTTTGGTTATATGTTAGTCTAAACTTAATAGGTTAGTTAGAAATAATCCTTTTGTTTCCCCTCTCCCAGGTAACTTCCTGCCCTTTGTTTCCCCTAGCCCTTGGTTAATCCTTCACTATGGCAAACATGGAAATGTTAGTTGCAGTCACATAAGCCTTTTGTTAGTAATAAAATGACTGGTTGTTTAAGGTAAATGACTATTCTAAGAACACTTTTGTTTAGCAAATGTGCCTCCTTTAAATAAAAAAAATAATAAATGTTGCGGCCTCTGCAGGAGGGCAAATAAACCTTTGGCTGTTCCTGAGAAAGATGCGATTGATTGTTATCTTCCTGCCTTAATGCATATGCTTATGCACTCTCCCGGTTTGCTTGAAATGTATAAATAAATGGCTGCTGAGACCCTCAGCAGGACAATGCCTGCACACTGACCAAGTGTCCGCGTCTCCTCATTCCCCTTTCCCCTAATCATTTCTCTACAATTGTGCCAACGCCTTCCCATCCTTCAGGAACCCCTGACATCCAGACTGCTGCGGCTGGCTCGCAACACCTGGAGCTGATTTTGCACTTACTGTTTTCTTTTTTCTAGAAGAGCCCTTCTTGGCACAATTATAGAAGCTTCAGGCCCCAGTAAACCTGTAACCCCCCCTGGAAATACAAGGGGAACAACTTGCAGGGAGAGACTGTGAGTCCCATGTGGGGCATGTTGGGTATGAACAGATGAAGAGCCTGCAGGGTGGAGATGTGCTGCAAGGAGCATAGTGTGGTGGGTGGAGCATGGGTCAGGGTCAGGGTCCCTATTCTTGCTTCAAGCTGTATGAACTTTGGCAAGTTGTTTGATTTCTCTGTGCTTGGTAAAATGGGATGACAATAATAATACTGCCCTCCTAGGGTCGTAGTAAAGACCAGATGAGATGATGTAAGTGCTTAAACATTGCCTAGTGCACAGTACATCCTCCAGACATGTCACGAGCTGGCTCTTGATATTGTATGGAGAAGTGTGGCTCTGGGGTTCTTCAGAGTGATAATGGTCTTGGACGGTCAAGAAGAGCTCATTAGGGCATGATCAAAAGACCAGGATAGAGCTCTGATATTTAGCAGGGTGACTTGAGGACAAGAAGCCAGACAAGGGGCCTCCCCGGTGGCGCAGCGGTTGAGCGCTGGGTTGCGAAGCTGCCCGCAGCCTCTGCAGCGCCGGTTCAATCCCCGGCTGCTCCCCGGCCACCGGAGGAGGGTCCCACATGGCGCGCAGACCTCTCCTGCCGCCCGCTGCTCCCCTCAGCAGTGTACTTCAGTCCTTCTGCCTGCTCTGCTCCCCGCTCTGGCTCTGGTGAATTCTCTCACCCTCCCACGCTTCTGACTGTACCCAGTGCATGTATAAACAAAACAAACAAACAAATAATAAATAAATAAAACATGCCTCTATAAAAAAAAAAAAAAAAAAAAAAGAAGCCAGACAAGTGGACAAGGATTAGCTGAAGTAGAGAGAGACAGAGAGAGAGACAGAGAGAGAGAGAGAGAGAGGGTCCTTGGAAGCCAGAGGAGGGGAAAATGTCCAACAGACACCTGGTCACCTACTGCTGAAAGTCAAGATCACAGGTGTAGCCTTGGTTAAGTTACCCGTGAGCTCGAGGGTAGGGCTGCCATGCAGTTAGAAACAGAGGAACGAATGTGCACACAGACAGCAAGTGTGCTCTAGAGAACAGTGACTGTGGGCAAAGAGGCAGAGAGAGGGCTTTGTGG